CTATTAATGTTTTAATTATCTGCTAGGTGTTAAAATATGAAAAAATACTTAAAAAACTTTCTAGAAAAATAAAGAGCCATTGTGATGGTTCCAATTCATAGCGACCCTATGTACAACAGAAGGAACCGCTGCCCAGTCCTGCATCTTCTCCCAATTGCTACTATGCTTGAGCCTACTGTTGCTGGCACTGTGTCAATTCGCCTTGTTCTGAAGTCCTACTCTTTGTCACTGACCCTCCTCTTTATCAAGCATGATGCCTTTTTCCAGGGACTCACCCCTCCTGGCAACATGGACAAAGTACAAAGAGAAAGTCTTGTCATCCTAGCTTCTATGAACATTCTGGCTGTACTTTCAAGACAAATTTGTTTGTTCTTCTGGCAGTCAGTGTACATTTAATATTCATCACCAACACCATAACTTAAATGCATCAATTCTTCTATGGCCTTCCTTATTCACGGTCCAACTTTCACATGCATATAAAAAAACGAAAATCCATGGCTTGGGTCAGATGCACCTTAATCCTCAAACCGGTATCTTTGTTGTTTAATACTTTTTGCAGCAGATTTGCTTAATGCAATATACATCATTGATTTCTTGACTGCTGCTTCGATGAGTGTTGACTATGGATTCAAACAAAATGAAGTCTTTGACAATTTCAATCTTTTCTCCATTAACTGTGATATTATTCATTAGTGAGTTGTGAGTATAATTCATACTGAAAGCTGGACTCTTTTATCTTCATTAGTGTTTCAAGTTCTCTTCAGTTTCAGCTAGCAAGATTGTGTTATCTGCATGTCGCCGGCTGTTAATGAATCTTCTTCCAATACTGATGCCATGTTATTCTTCTTATAGTGTAGCTTCTCTGATTGTTCACTCAGCATACAGACTGAACAAGTACAGTGAAAGGTTAAAACCCTGGCTCACACCTTCCCTGATTTAAAACCATTCAGTATCCCCTTGTTCTGTTCTAATGACTGCTTCTTGGCCTATGCACAGGTTTCTCTTGGTCACAAGTAATTAATGTGTCTGGAATGCCCATTCTTTGCAATGCTACCCATAGTTTGTTATGATCCACACAGTCAAATGCCTTTGCATAGTCAAGAAAGTGCTAGTAAACATCTTTCTGTATTCTTTGCTTTCAGCCAAGATCCATCTGACATCAGAAGTGATATCCCTAGTTCCATGTCCTCTTCTGAATCCTGGAAGAATTTCTGGCAGCTTGCTGGCAATGTACTAATGCTACTGTGTTTTAACTGTCTTCAGCAAAATTTTACTTGCATGTGATAATGATGATATTGTGTGATGATTCCTGCACTACATTCAGTCACCTTTCTCTGGAATGGCACCAATATGGAAGTTTTCCAATGGGTTGGCCAGACAGTGGTTTTCCAAACTTCTTGATATTGATGATGTAAGACAACCCAAGTGAGGGTAAAAGTGCAATTACAGATACACATGCATGTGGAGGTAACTTGAGAATGTTGGGTCAATTATGAGGATTAATCTCACATCTATAACAGGAAGTCAATTAAATATAAACCATAAAGTCAAAGTCAGTATTTACAAATACTTGTCATATCAACCTAATACTACTTTTAGTGTTTCTGTTCTATTTTGTAGTTCTTTGCATAGTTGCTAGAGTATTGAAAGCCATAGAGTTACTTCCAACTCATAGTGACCTCATGTATAAAAGAACAAAATATTGGCCAGTCAGGTGCCAACCAAAAGAACAAAACATTGGCCAGTCAGGTGCCAACCTCAGGATCAGTGCTATGTTTGAGCCCATCGTTGCAGCCACTCTTAGGGTCACAATCAATTCGTCTCTTGAGGGTCTTCTTTTCCTTCTCTGATCTTCCACTAAGTAAAGGAAAAGACCCTCAAGAGACGGTCCAAAGTACATAAGACATAGTCTCACCATCTTTGCGCCTAGAGAGCATTCTGTGTATACTTGTTGCAAGGCAGATTCTCACCTTTTCTGGTTCCATATGAGCACTATTAAATGTTCTGTAATCTTTGCAAGTTATCCATAATTTGTTAAAATCAACACAACTGAATATACTTGCATAGTCAATACAACTAAGGTAAACATATTTCTGGTATTCTCTGCTTTCAAACAAGATCAATTTGACGCCAGCAATAACATACCTCATTCTACATTCTCTTATGATTTGTGACAGTTCCTGTAAATATAGTACTGCAACAATTTAAAATTTATCTTCAGTAAAATTTTACTTACATATGATTATTAATAATACTGTTCAATAACATACACATTTTGTTGGCTCACCCTCAGAAATTAGCAGAAATATGGGTATCTTCTATTCAGTTGATGAAGGAACTCTGGTAGTGTAGTGGTTACGAATCTGGCTGCTAACTTCAAGGTCAGCAGTTCAAAACTACCAGCCATTCCATGGGAAAAAGATGAGGCTTTCTGCTCCCATAAAGATTTACAGCCTTGGAAGTCCTGTGAAGGGTCGCTATGAGTCGGTACGGACTCCACGGTACTTAACAACAACAATAACAAATACTAGGTACTATTATTATAGAGTCCTGGTGTGGAGATGTGGACCAATGCGCTGGACTGCAAAGTCGGTTTAAACCACAAGGTCGCTGGTTCAAGCTCACCAGCTGCTCCTTGGAAACACTATACTACTCAACAACAACAACTCAGTTGATGAGGTAGCTGTCTTCCAAATCTCTTAGCAGACATGAGTAAGTGCTGTTAGTGCTGAATATATTTATTGAAACATCTTAATTGGTGTCTTGGCAATTCCTGGAGTCTTGTTTTTGGCCAATGATTCATTGTAGCTTGGACTTTTTCAATACTATCATTTCTTGATTATAAGCTAACTCCTAAAGAGGAGCTCTGGTAGTGTAATGGTTATGAATTGGGCTGTGAACCTCAAGGTCAGCAGTTCAATACTACCAGCTGTTCCACGGAGAAAGAGGAGGCTTTCTGCTTCCGTAAAGATTTACAGCCTCAGAAACCCTGTACAGGGTCGCTATGGGTTAGAACCAAGGCCACGGCACATAACCAGCACCACCCTAAAATAGTTAAACATTGACCAATTCTGGTATACTGGCTGTGTGCATTCTTCTTTCAATATTAAAAGTCAAGGCTTGAATTGTTTTGTTCTGTTCTTTCTGAGAGTGTTTTCACCTTTTGATTTTCTAATTTCTAGTCTTTGTATATTGCAATATAATACTTTAGCTTCCTTGAGCCACTGTTTGAAATCTTCTATTCCACTTTCTTGCTTCACCATTTCTCCCATTTACTTTAGCTACTCTGTGTTCAAAAGCAAGTTTCAGTCTCTTCTGACAACCATTTGGTCTTTTCCTCCTCTCCTTTTTTTTTTTTTAAATGACTCTTTGCTTTTCTCCATATAGTGTATTCCTGATGACATATTGCAACTTGTTTGGTCTTTGGTCATTAGTGTTCAGTCGACTTCATTCTTAAGATGGTCTCTAAATTCAAGGTCGTGTTTGGCTCTCATAGACTTATTTCAATTTCCTTCAGTTTCAAACTGAACTTTCATATGAGCAACTGATGATCTGTTTTGCATCAATTTCTGCTCTTGTTCTGTCTGATGACACTGAGTTTCTCTTTGTCTCTTCCTACAGATATAGTCAATTTCATTACTGTATTTCCCATCTGGTGAGGTTCATGTTTATAGCTTATATTTTCAATGAGTAAGCCATTGGTCTTGCAAAATTCTAACAAGTAAATCCTGCTGTTGCTTCTTCTAAGGTCTTATTTCCCAGCTGCTGATTTCTTCTTTGTTTCTAGTTTGTGCATTCAAGTCACCAGTAATTATTAATGCAACTTGACTGCAAGTTTTATAAACTTCAGACTGCAGAAGTTGATAAATACCTTCAATTTCTTCATCTTTGGTATTAGTGGTTAGTGTACACATTTGAAAAATAGTTCTATTAACTGGTCTTTCTGGTAGACATGTGAATGCATCCTAGCACTGAGATGATTTTGGAATGCTCTGTTGACAATGATTGCAATGCCAGTCTTCTTCAACTTGTCATTCCCAGCACATATGATTGTCCCATTCAAAATGGCTAATACCCGTCCATTTCACTTCACTAACAACTAAGATTTGGATCTTTATGCCTTCCGCTTCATCTTTTAACTTCCAACTTCCTATATTTGTAATTTGTACGTTCCATGTTCGGATTATTAATATTTGCAGCTGCTGCTTCTCATTTTGAGTCATGCCATATCAGCAACTGAAGGTTCTGAAAACTTTACTTCATCTACATCATTAAGGTAGTAATAAGTTCTCCCTAACTTGTATTCTGAGTGCCTTCCAACCTGAGGGGCTCATCTTTCAGCATTATATCATACAATGTTCCACTGCGACTCATAAGGTTTTCACCAGCCAATTTTTTAGAAGGATGTAGCCAGGCCCCTCTTCCTACTCTGTCTTAGTAGGAAAGCTTTGCTGAAAACCTGCCTATCATAATATCTTCAATACCAATGGCAATAAGCCAGCCACCACAGTATGACAAATAGACACAAAAGTGGTGAAAACCAAGCAATAGCTCATTTAGCAGAGAATCGCTGCCTTGAGGATTGTGCTCTTTTAAATAATTGTCTACATGGAATCAACTTGATAACAGAGACTTGAAAGGTCAGAAGAGAGCATTAAGGGGCAATGAGATTGTCTTAATGGTGGTAACATAACTGAAAGAAGATCGTGAGAATGGATGCACAACTTGAAGAATGTAATCATTGTCACTGAAATGGGCAGGCAGAATCTGCTTAATTTCTGTATGTTCTTCCGTCTGTATTTTTACCACACACACACAAACACACACAAATACGCCATATACAACAAATAAAAATTTTTAAATCTGGAATAGGAAAGGGTGGGTCCAATACTGTTCTTCATTGTTACAAGCTTTGTATTATTATGTTTTTAAACCATGCACCTGGTTTACTTGAATAAACATTAAATTTATAAAGTGTATACCAATGGAAAATGTCTCACCAATAGTCATAGCTCTCATCCCAGTTGTCGAAGTGCACCAGGAAACGATTGTCCACCATATCTGTGACTGTAGCCACACAGATGAATGTAGGGTTCTTTTTGTCTACAGCTTCCAGCTTCATTCCAACTCGAAAGCCTGATGGAATCACTGTCTGCATAAACAGACAGATTTAATTAGAGAGCAACACACTTTACAGCAACACCTCCATCGTTCCTGCACCTCCCGCTCAAAGGCCTTCATCTAATTCAAAAACCGTATGCCAATTTTACAGCATGGTTGAATTCCAACAAGCAATGGTAAAAAAAAATTGTTAAATGCCCTATTGCTACACCCAATTAACTTTCCAGTCTCTAAATGAAAACACCTATGTCACAGAATTTAAAATAACTGATTTAAAGAGGTGTTTTGATTCCTTAGGAGACTATTCTAGTTAGGCAAATTTTATTCACCTTATAGCTCACTTTTCTCCCTTCATTACAAAGACTTAACAATGAAAATTACTTCACAAAAAAACAGGCACTTAATCGGGTTTAAAATGTGCATGAGTGAGTAGTACAAATTAACTTCCACTTTTGTAAAAATCTTTCAAACAAATGCTCTACTGAAAGTAGGTCATCTTCATACAGGAAAGACTAACTTACTACAACATAACTTTGATTAATATGCCATATACTTCTTACTCACCAAAAGCAGCAAACCAAACAAATAAGAAACTGGCTGTTAATATACACAGTCACTCAAACAAAATAGCCTATACAGTCTATAATTTACAGAAATCCATTGATTATCACTCGACTGGGACTTGGAGCTAAAACAATAGAAGTTGATGTATAAAAAAATATAAATTTTTCTCGCAATTTTTTATGAGGAAAAATATCCTAACCTCAAAGTAGTGAACTTGCATATTGAGTTTGTTAATCATAGTGAGTCCTGGTGTAGTGCTGAGGATTAACGAGCTGGACTGCATAGTCTGTCTGAACCACAAGGTCGGCAGTTAAACCCACTCCTTGGAAATACTATACTACACAGGAGTCGGTATGAGTAGGAACCGACTCAACAGCACTTAACAACAACACTCTTCTTTAGGATCTCTGGTAGCATAGTGAATTACAAACTGGAATGCTAATCACAAGTTCAGTAGTTCAAAACTACCAGCTGAGGCTTTCTGCTGATGAAAGCTGAGGCTTTCTGCTCCCATAAAGATTTACAGCTTCAGAAAACCCTATACAGGGTGAGCAAGAGTTGGAATCGACTCGGTGGCACCTAACTACCACCATTACCTTTCTTTAAAAAATCTATTCAGAAGGCAATATGCAAAAACTAGTCTAATTACCTTAAACAAATAGATGTTTTCTCTGTTTGTTAACTGTAATTATAGAGCTATGATGGCATAATTCTAGACAGTCTTATATATCTGGAAATGTTACTACAGTCCAAGCTACATTGAAGGAACAGATATTAGTGGTCTACAGAATTGTTAAGTACACATACAAATCCTGATATTATTTATCAGAGTCTGACCATCAGTATTTGCATATTGTTAAGGGCCACTGTGCTGGTTCAGACTTTGTTGTCGTTGTTATGTGCCATGGAGTCGGTTCCTACCTATAGCGACCCTGTACAGGGTTTCTGAGGCTGTAAATCTTTACGGGAGCAGAAAGCCTCCTCTTTCTCCTGAGGAACAGCTGGTAGTTTCGAACTACTGACCTTGTGGTTCGCAGCCCGATTCATAACCACTATGCTACCAGAGCTCCTGGATCAGACTTTAGCAACCCTGAACAGGGTTTCCAAGGAGTGACTGGTGAATTTGAAATGCCAGTCCTGTGGTTCAATACTTATCCTACAGCACCACATCAGGACTACATTTGCACATTTGTTGTTGTTAAGCATCATAATGGCCCTGTATAGGGTTTCTGAGGAGTGGCTGGTGAGCTTGAACTGCTGACCTTGTGGTTCAAATAACTTTGCATATTGCTGTTGCTGTTAAGAGCCATCAAGTCAGTTCCGACTCGATTCATAGCGACCCTTGTCTAGGGTTTCTGAGGAAAAGTTGGTGAACTGGAACTGCTGACCTTACAGTTCAAACAGCTTTGCAGTTTAGCCCATTAACTCACAGAGCCACACCAGGACTCCAACTTTGCATATTGTTGTTGTTGTTAAGTGCTGTTGAGTCGATTCTGACCCACAGTGACCCTGTACAGGGTTTCCAAGGCTGTAAATCTTTACAGGAGCAGAAAGCATCATTTTTCTCCCACGCAACAGCTGCTAGTTTCGAACTGCTGACCTTAAGGTTCAGAGCCCGATTCGTAACCACTATGCTACCAGAGCTCCTTAACTTTGCATATTAGGAGGTAGAAAACCCAAATCCAACTCACAGTGACCTATAAAACAAAGTAGAACTGTCCCATGAGATTTAGAAATAGGAATATTTACTTGCTTTTGGACACTGAACTCATAGTCCAAGATTAAGTTGAGTGCTAGCGATGCATAGAATTGAAGAAAATGGTTCAAGGCAGATAATCAAATCCCTGAATGAACTCATTATCAGACAACCAAACAAGGATTCTGAACCTTGGAGTACCAACTGTACAGGTTGCTGCCTATTTCCATCTAACTGACCTTGTTCCCTGGGGTGAATCTTGACAGAGGAGACTCACTAACAATGTAGTGTTTCTAGTTTGAAATTATGCTATACTCTCAATTAAGGTGTAGCACTGGCACGGTAGGATCAGCAGTGACCTATGAACCACAAGGTCAGAGGTTCAAACCCACCAGCTGCCCCTTAGAAACCCTATACTGGATCACTATGAGTTGAAACTGACTGAATAGCTCTTAACAGCAACTCAATTAAGATATTTGAAAGTAATAATCTAGCACAACATTATTTTTAAATATCTTAACTGAGTTGTTGTTAAGAGCTATTGAGTGCCACCGAGTCAATCCTACTCATAGCAGCTTATGTACAATAATAGAACAAAACACTGCCTGGGGTCCTGTGCCACCCTCACAATCATTATGCTTGAGCCCACTGCTGCCACCACCGTGTTCAACTCATTGGGGGTCTTCCTCTTTTTCGCCAACCTTCTATTTTGTCTAGCATGGTATCTTTCTCCAGGGACTAGTCCCTCCTGATATGCACAAATAAAGATAAAATCTCCCCATCCTGGGCTGTAATTCTAACACAGATTTGTTAGTTTTTTTTTTTTTTTTTTATCAGTCCATGGTACTTTTAATAGTTTTCTCAAATACTAGAACTCAAATGCATCAATTCTTCTATGTTCTTCTTATTCACTAACTTTCACATGCCTATGGAGCTATTGAAAATACCATGGCTTGGGTCCTCAAACTGACATCTGTGCTCTTGGTCACTTTAGAAGTCTTTTGCAGCTGATTTGCCTAATGTAATATGTTCTTTGAATTCTTGACTGCGGCTTCAATGAGTGTTGTGTATCCAAGCCAAATGAAGTCTTTGATAACTTGAATCTTTTCTTCATTTACCATGATGTTATTTATTGGTCCAGTGATGATTTTTTTTTTTTTTTTCTTTACAGTGAGGTGCAACCCATACTGACGGCTGTGGTTTTTGATCTTCGACAGTATTTTAAGTCCTCTTTGCATTCAGCAAACAGGTTTACATAATTTGAAAATTAAAAGTCGTTGAAGAGTCTTCCTCTAATCCTGATGTTATGTTCTTTTTCATATAATTTAGCTTCTCAGATTATTTGCTCAGCATAAGATTGAATAAATACGGTGAAAGGATATAACCCTGGCATACACCTGACCTAATTTTAAATCATTCAGTGTCCCCCTGTACTGTTCGAATGACTGAATTTAACTTGGCTTATGCTTAAGGAGCTCTAGTAGCGTAGTGGTTACAAATCGGGCTGCTAACCTCAAAGTCAGCAGTTCAAAACTACCAGGTGTTCTGCGAGAGAAAGATGAGGCTTTCTGCTCCCGTAAAGATTTACAGCCTCGGAAACCCTGTACAGGGTCACTGTGAGTCGGAACTGACTCCACGGTACTTAACAACAACACTGGTCAATTTCATCAGAGAATGTTTTACCTGCTAGACTGATGTCCTTCGACAACTCGTTCATATAGTCCCCTCACTGGAGGGTATATGGAATGAGAGAGATGGTATTTCCATTTGGAGGGAACCATGTTAGTGAAATGTTACTGGCCTCGCAGTCACTCTTATTACTTGAATAACACATGTGGTGAGAGGGGTGGTCACAGTTGTCAGGTAAGCTGGCATGCAAAGCACAGGATTTCTGCTCTGCTACTTTAGAGGTAAACTCTGCCCCTTCAGGAGGACAGGTCTGCTATGGTCAGGCACTCCCCAAGCTTGGTATGGGGAAAATAGGGGGAAAGGGACAGTAACACTTTTAAAGGTTTTGGGCTCAGAACCAAGCTCACTTTTATGCAGATATAAGCCTTGTCTTCTAACCTAGCCCTTATAAGTTGTACTGATGATATTTTGATTTTCATCCAATTGCTTTCTTTTTTCCAATTAGATTAGAACTTAAGCAAAGAAAAGTTTAACTTATTGGGTCTCTTCACAGATGTGAACAGAGGAAAATGCAACAGAAAGTAGGAATACAGCCCATGAATTAGGTAATACCCATTCCTCCAGACTTGTTACTGATAAACTGCAAAATAAAACGGTAAGTTGGAGTGAAGACAAATCAGAGTGTGCACGTACATGCTGGATGTGAATCTGCAGAGATGTACACTCACCTCATTGTGTGAGTCACATGTACACAGCTCTAGTCAAAAAGTAACAATAAGACATCCCAGAAAACTTATATTTTTAATGCACGTTAATTGTACATTAGATCTAATCTTATATTTTGCTACTTCCTACCAAGGAGCTCTGGTAGTGTAGTGGTTACGAATCGGGCTGCGAACCTTAAGGTCAGCGGTTCGAAACTACCAGCCGCTCCGCGGGAGAAAGATGAGACTTTCTACTCCTGTAAAGATTTACACCCTCGGAAACCCTGTACAGGGTCACTATGGGTCAGAACTGACTCGACGGCACTTAACAACAACAACAACCATTCAATAAAAAATACAACTATAATATGGTTATGGAACAGGTATTTATTTATGAAGATTTGAGAAAGCAATTAAGATTGCTCTATTTACCAAACTAATATAATGCATTACAGTTCCTTGTTATCAAAATTTATCCTGTAAAGTGCTCAGAAATCATCTGGTTTGTAAGGAAGAGTATTTTGCATGTACTTACAATGTTCTGATTTTCAAACAATGACTTGGGAGCAGCTTGAGCTTTACATGTCTTAAGATAGGTCTGCCAATTAAATTCGTCTTCTTTATACCCTAGAGCAAGCAGACAGCAGCAGGCTTAGTGCAACAGCAACCATTTTATACACCACTGTTTCCCACTCCTACGTGTCCTCTGAAACTCCTGCATGTACCGCTCCAAATAAAGCCACCCAATGGTTATTTTATAAATAATCAACATCTAACTTACTATTTAGGCTTGATTATCAAGTTTTAGAGTCCTTGGGTGGCACAGTTGGTTAACGCATTGGACTGCAAGGTCAGCTTGAACCACAAGATTGGCAGTTCTAGTTCATCGGTCACTCTTTGGAAACCCTATACAGAGTCGCTATTGAGTCAGAACTGACTCGATGGCATTTAACAACAACAAAAAATAATCAAGTTTTATATGCAGGTTGCTTATATTTAATTAATTTTATTTTTTCATGTATGAATGGTAGTAGATATTAAGAAAAGGAGCAAAAAATTAAATACATATTATGTTCTGTTTTAATTACCAACCTATTTCTATCAGTCCATAGGTAGAATTCCTCAGAAGTAAAATAGGGAACTAAATTAGTCAAATGTTTTATTTTTTTCTTCTACATGCTCTATTTTAAGAGGTTAGCATATGGAAAAAAGTAGGAAGTTGAAAAAAAAAAAGTAGTTAAGAAAAACAAAATCTTTTTTGCCTATGACTGCAAAAATGTCCAATCAAGGATTAGGAAATAAACACATTAGCAAATTCCAATAAAGGAAATGTCCTTGTCTTAATTTTCAGAATTTCATGAAAGCCAACATTTCTTTACAAAAGGAATTTGAGCATTTTCTATTTCCTGCCAACCTACTCGCTTCTTCTTCCAAGCAAGTTCAGAAGGCAGAAAAGAACAGTCAATATAGCACCATATTTGAGTTCAATGTATACAAAGACTCACTGCTTCCCTTTCTCACTCTCACCTTTTCTGTGTTTTGCTTAATCCTTCAGCTCTTTGTAAACATCATTTTGCCATTAATTTTTCACTCAAAAACCCAAGGACAGCTAGAGTTCATTAAAAAATAGTCCTGAAATAAGTCTAAAAATTATCAAACCAGTAACCTAAATTTTTTACAGCAAGGAAATAATACTGTATATATTCATCAAAAATGAAGAAATAAGATAGTATTAAGCATACTGGTGACAGACGGAAAACAATTGTAATCTGTTATTCTTGAAACTTTAAGTAAACACAAAATACGCAAAGTCATTTGCGGACTATGATACTAAAAACAGGATCATAAGAATAAGTAATTGTTCGGACCTTATCTAAGCCGGTTTTAAATGTTATTAAATGTTACAGTCTCCTTTTTAAACTCTTCAAGTTAATTGTATATACTAGAAACAATCATTTTTAAGGTTGTGACTGTATAGTATAAGCACTGGACTATAAGGTAGGTGGTTCAAATCCATGAGCTGCTCCTTGGAAAACCTAGACAGGGTTGCTATGAGTCAGAACCCACTCAACAACACACAACAACAGCAACGTACATAAAATAAACATAGAAATAAGTGGTTAAATGCTATTTGTAACAAAAACTATCATATAACCTACACCTATGGATGCAGTAGCTCAAAAGAGGAAATAAATCCTTACAGCAAGTATCATTCTCACCCCCTCCACATACAGAGTAAGACAGGGATGGGCAACTTGGACACTGGCTACCCAAAATGGGGGGTGGGAGGGTGGGGAGGGGGGCAGGGGCTACAAAGGCAAGAAGTGACTGGTTTACAAGCTTTCAAGAGAGAACACAGAGCCAGGGGCCTGGAGGAAGGCAGAATTTCCAGTGAGTACTATCCAATCTGTCTAGGCGGAGCTGATGAAATGAAATGCAGATGGGTCTCTTGTGATACAATAGTGAGTAATTGTTATCAGGACTGATTGTGAGGGTTGGAAATGTAAAAGTAGATGTTTTATTGCAAGGAAGGGAGTGATTAACTTTCCAGTCTAGGATTGGAGGTCCCTAGGACCATCAACAGAAAAGAGCCAAGAGCGGGACCCTACCCAGAGAAGCAGTGATGCCTGAGATGGAGGCAGAGACGATGACATGTTGCAATGGAGCAGCTGAGTACTTTAGATCCAGAGAGGGAGAGCGACTGTGTGCTAAAGACTGGGGGGTGGAGGGGAGGGGTAGTGTAGGGGGCAGGCTTGCAGGATATACCCTTTGGTTGGTTGATGATGCATGGAGGGGATTGTAACCATGGCAATGAAACAATTTACGATAGAATGAATGTAAAACTAATGTTTTCCCATGTAAACTATCATATAATTCACAATAATACACTGAAAAAAAAACAAAACTATCATATAAATGTTACTTTACATATAAACAAACACAGTTTATTCTTTTATGCAGGATTCTATTGTTTAAATTTTACTTTGATAAAACTTTTTTCTTCATGAACAATAAGCTTGCATTTAGGCACATTTGAATTTTATACAGTTTGACTTCTTAAAAATTCTAAAATAGCATGGAAGAAAATGAGTTTTTACTAAATACAAAATATAAAGCAAGAAAGTGACAACACCTTTTGGTGGATGAAGTTTATGGCCAGTTTTCTCACACCATCCAACTGGGTGGATATCCAAGGCATCTGCATTTACCCAGAAATCATAGCAATCAGAATACCCATCAAAGTGAAGCTTTATCCGGTATCCACAAACCTGCAATATGTAAAGTAAGTCGGTTAATTAAAGTAAACAAAACAATATTCATGTGTATAAACAAAAATATAAAAATATGAATAACAGGTATGATACTACCTATGTGCATCAAACCACCTGCCTTTAACAGCAACACAAGCAATAAAACAAATAGCAAAATCTAAAAGTAAAGCCTACTATAGTGGAATGAGCTGAACTACAGCATACCAACATTCTCTTAAAAGCACAGAGACATGGAGTGAAGAACACTGATATGCTGTCTTATTCCCTTTGTTGAATTAGCTTGCATCCCATCAATGAGAGCTGGCACAGAATGAGCAAGACCAGCCCACTGCAGACGGCTTCAGCAAGGCCCTCAGTGGATGTTCTGCTGGTCACTGTCTGAATGCCAGCTCTCTGTCCTTGTATAAACTAAGCACCTGACAGCCTATCAGGGAGAGACGACAACAGATTCTCCTCTTCTTTCTACCATTTTGGGCCGGGAAAACAAAGAAAGAAATAAAGGGGAAAAAGTCTAACCTAATATCTTTGAAAGAGGGTTCAACCGCTAAATCTTGCTTCCACTAGCCTCAATGCCAGCACACCAGATGTCTTCTTTAGTTACACTCCATAAGAATTGGGTGATTAAAAATATATATATACACACAAATAGAAACTTGAGAAATATGTGTGGGAATGATTATTAAGGGTGTGGGATAATGTTGCAAGGAACAAAAGTTGTTATCAGTCCAAGTGTATTGATATGGGCCCACTAAGCACAGATTCTTCATTCAGTGTTCTAGCTCAACAGGTTAGGAAAAGATGTAATAGATTTGACTGGTTTATTAAAATACAGATTAAGTGGTTACATATACATCATGTTGAAATACCAGATCTAACTTGATTTATTGTAGAAGAAGGTATTTCAAAGGCTTAGGAAAATGGCACGCTAGAGTGGATTATCAGGTTGGACCAACAGACCCAAAAACAGAGTGTCCACAGGATATATACCTTTTTCCACAAGGTGAGGAAGATATTTTTGAAGAGTCCAGCATCCTTTACAACTTTTAATTTTAAGTCAGACTTAGCAGTGAGAGCCACCTTAAATGAATTAAGATATCTGACTACAATGGGGCTGACTGGAATTGCTGGTGGTAGAGGCCAAGTGGCAGTTCTTTATCAACAAAGACAAGGCATGTGAGGTTGGTGTAATGGATAGCAAAGTCAAAGCACTAATCAGAATAGTCTGACTTGTATGGAATTAAGGCATTGGCGATTTAGTCATGGTGTTCCTAGGGGTGAAACAGATGGGAAAGCTACTAAATATTTACGTGATATGTTCAAATGGAAGTATTCTAAGTAACATGAATGGCAGAAATAGAGAATTACAGTCTCTCAGAACTTGAGCCAGTTTAAAGACTCACGACCCCTTGAATGAAGGACAGGCTGAGTCCCATTGGGAAAGGACCTCACTATATCATCAGAAACTTCTATTGAAAATCTTTCTCTCCACCTTCTTCAAAGGAATCTACAGCCTTTTACAAGAGTGACTGTTCATTGGGGAAATGGAAGTACAGAGTTTTCGAGGATTACTAGACACTGGCTCTGAATTACCATTAACTCCAGGAATCCAAATGTCACTATGGCCCACTAGTCTGAGTGGCAGTAGGTATATGGAGATCATTATTAATGGAGAGTAGCTCAGGTACATCTTGCAGTGGGTCTCGTGGATCCCGGAATACATCCTGTAGCGATTACCCCAGTACCAGAATGCATAATTGGAACAGACATACTCAGTAACTAACAGAACCTTCACACTAAAATAGTGACATGTAAAATAAAGGCTATTAATGTCTTAAGATAATGTACTGGACGACAAGGTTGGTCTGAACCACAAGGTCGGCAGTTGAAATCCACCAGCTGATCCTCTGAAACCCTAGACAGGATCACTGTAGAAGTCAGAACTGACTCGACAGCACTTAACAACAGCAAAAGCAACAATATGGTAGGGAAAGTCAAGAGGAAATCATTAGAACTGCCCTGACCTAGTACAACAGCACACCCAAAACAATCATATTCCTGGAGTGACTGCAGATATAAGTGTCAGCAAGAGTTTGAAGGGTGTGGTGATTACTATCACATCCTCATTTAACTGAACTATTTGGCCTTAGCAAAAAAAAAAAAAAAAAAAAAAGAATCTTGGTGAATGGCAATGGAGTAAATTTGATGACAGTAGTCACTTTAACTGTAGCTGCTTTGCAAGTGTAGTTTCATTGTTTGAACTGAAAATTAATACATCTCTTGGTACCTGGTACACAGCTAGTGATCTACTCAATGACTTGTTCACGATTCCAGTATCAAAGGATTAACCAGAAACAATCGGCCTTATTCCTTCACCACCCTACCAGAGATATATCAACTCTCCAACCCTATATCACAATTCATACTGCAGGCACGCTGATTGCCATTCCTTTCCTTAAGTCATCACAATGATCCAATATATTAATTACATTACACAGCCTAGACTTTGTTGCTGTTGTGGTTGTTGTTGTTGTTGTTGTGTGCCGTCGAGTCGGTTCCGACCCATAGCGACCCTGTACAGGGTTTCCAAGGGTGTAAATCCTTACGGGAGTAGAAAGCCTCATCTTTCTCCCGCGGAGCAGCTGGTAGTTTCGAACCGCTGACCTTTAGGCTCACAGCCCGATTCGTAACCACTACGCTAGGTTGTTAGGTGCCAACAAATCGAAACCAACTCATAAATACCCTATGTACAACAACACGAAACACTGCATGGTCCTTCACTAATATCACAGTCGTTGCCATGCTTGAGCACATTACTACTGCTACTGTGTCAATCCACCTTGTTAGGAGTCTTCCTTCTTTCACTGACCCTCCACTTTACCAAGCATGATGTCCTTCTCCACTGACTGGTCACTCCTGATAATATGATGTATGAGAGATGAAGTCTCACCACCATGGCATTTAAGAAGTATTCTGGCTTTACTTTTTTCAACACAGATTTATTTTTTTCTTCTGGAAGTCCATGGTACTTTTAATATTCTCCTCCAACACCCTAACTCAAATACATCAATTCTTCTATAGTCATCCATATTTATTATCTGACTTTCACATGCACATGAGGCTACTGAAAATACCATAACTTGGGAAAGGCACAACTAAGTTCTCAAACTGACACCTTTGCTCTTAAAGACTTTAAAGGGGTCTTGTGCAGGAAATTTGCCTAATGTAATGTTGCTAATTGTCAAGTAACAGATACTAACTCATAGCGATCCTATCTATGCACAACAGACAGAAACATTGACTGGTCCTATGGCAACTTCACAATCATTGCTAGTTTGAGACCATTGCTGCTGCCACTGTGCCAATCCATCTAGTTGGGAGCTTCCTCTTTTTGTCCAAACCTCCACTTTATCCAACATGGTATCCTTCTGCAGAAACTGGTTCCTTCTGATAATATGAGAGGAAAAGTATGAGATAAAAAGTCTGGCCATCCTGGCTTCCATGGAGCATTCTGGCTGTACTTGTTCCAACACAGATTGGTTTGTTCTTTTGGCAGTCCATGGTACTTTTAATATTCTACTTCCAACACCATAACTCAAATCCATCAATTCTTCTATGGTCTTCCTTATTTACTGTCCAACTTTAACATGCATATTAAATTCCTGAAAATGCCAAGACTTAGCTCAGGCACACCTTAGTTCTCAAACTGACATCTTTGTTCTTCAACACTTTAAAAAGGTCTTGTGCAGCAGATTTGCCTAATGCAATACGTCATTTGATTTCTTGACTGCTGCTTCCACAAATGTTGATAGTTGATCCAAGAAGAATGAAGTCCGTGAAAGCTTCAATCTTTTCTCCATTGATAAGTATGTTGTTTATTGGTCCAGTGGTGAGGATTTTTGTTTTCTTTACATTGAAATGCAATCCATACTAAAGCTCTGCTCTTTGATCTTCATCAGTAAATATTTTAAGTCTTCTTCACGTTCAGTAAGCAAGGCTGTATCATCTGCATATCGCAGGTTGTTAATGAGTCTTCCTCCAATCCTGTGCCATGTTTTTCTTCATATAACACAGCTTCTCAGATTATTTGCTTAGCATACAGACAGAATATGTATGGTGAAAGAATACAACCTTGTTGCACACCTTTCTTAATTTTAAACCATTCAGTGTTCCCATGTTCTGTTCAAACAACTGCCTCTTGGTCCATGTAGAGAGTCCTCATGAGCACAATTAAGTATTCAAGAATATTCATACTTTGTAATGTTGTCCGTAGCTCGCCATGATCCACACAATCGAAAGACTTTGCATAGTCAATAAAGCACAGGGAAACATCTTTCTGATATTCTCTGCTTTCAGCCAAGATCTGCGGGAAGCGCTTAACTCTCGTTGCTTGGCAAAGCCGCAATGGGGGGAGAGACATTATGCACGGCAAATGACTCTCAAAAGCTGACCCCTATCCTTCCTTCAAGTTAGCCCTGAATTCACTTGTAAAAATATGCAATTTGGCAATATTCACAGCTTTCACTATGAGTTCTACAAACCTTAGGAAAAACTAGCTTAGCACCAACTGCTTCCAGCCTTGGTGGATTGAATACAAAGAGAAATTGTGTAAATTACTTCCTTTCATTAGAAAACCTAAGTAACTGCATTTGTGAGGCCACAAAAGCAAATAGCATATTAGAGTCAAGCTGACCTACCCCCAGAGGCCTCACCACATTCAGTTACTAGCTAGAATTCACAAACCCCTACACATAGACATCTGCGTAAACAAGTAGACAACAATGAATTTAAGTGAAGGATAGTTTTGACTTAATAATCTACACGTCTTGCAGCAAGTAGCCAAGTTGGGCTTTATGCCACATAGCTTCCAAGTGATTTAATGAATACCTTTATTATGAAAATAATAGCACATTATGTAGAATAGAAAGTTTATAATCTTTTAGTAGAAACAAGAAGAAACAGTTTTATCTCATACTGGGAAAGAACATGAAGGTCAGTCT